AAAGAGTGTCATATGGAGAAGGTGGCTTCGGAACAATCTCGAAACAGCTCTACGACGTTCTCACAAGCTTACAAATGGGTCTGAGCGAGGACAGCATGAACTGGACTGTCCAACTTGTTTAAAAGGGGACGCAGGCTCTACCCTTTTTACTGTGTGTGAAAATCCCCATTTAGACCTAAAAAAATAATAAATTGTTTACATTAGCTTTTGATGAATCGAAATATATATGCATAGTTACAGTTTTATGGAGAAAGATATTAGAGTGGTGGTGGTTTTTGTTTCTTAAAAATCTTTATTTATGCAGTTTGGATTTAATTCAATTAGTCTGCAATTAAATATATGTTTACAATGGGTCACTGGTTAGAGTTTGTTAGTATTTTTAAAATTTTCATAAAACCTTTTAACCATTAACAAAAACAATCATTTACTTGCCTTGCAAAAGATGTCATGATTATCTCATGATTACGGAATAATAACATGTTTATCTTTCATTATTATATAAAGTTAAAGAAAAAGGTACAGAGAGAGTGAGATTACAGGGGGACCTTCCTCCTTTGCCTTTGTTATGGGAAACCATCTTTTTTTTTTGTTAAAGATTGTGTTATGGGAACCCATTTTTTTTGTTCTTTTTAATAAAAGAACCTACTCGTTTATATACCTGTAATTCATATAAATGCGTAAAACATCCATGATTTTATGTATTAATGACAAAATCTGTCTCATAAAACACGATTTGATGAAACATTTTTAATTTATGTATCATAAAAAAATAGAAAAGATGGCCTCCGAAGCAAAAATAGAAAAGCGGCGTTGAAATCCGATAATGCCTTTTTTTTCTCCCTTTTTTTAACCTTTTTGAGGTTGAAACTTTATTTACTTTTCCATAATTAAATAATTATATATTTCGGGGGAAAGAAATATGTATAAAACAACCAATAATTTGAGCAATTGATAAATTTAATTTCCCAAGGGCTTTGACTTTTAACCCTTTTCGCCAAGTCTAACCTTTTGTCCGTCTAGAAGCCTTTGCGCATAAGATCTATCTCTCCGCACACTTTCATTCTCGGAAAAATAACCAAGAAAAACGCATAAATTTCCAATATTTTATAAAAAAAATTACACTTTTAAGATGTAGTGTTTGTTGAGTAATTCTTTTGGTTTTATTCGACATAATTTTGAATATATTAAAATAAAACAAAGTTAAAATGTCACCTGTTTACACAAAATTCACGAGGGTAGACATCAATTATAAGCACGAAGGTCCAAATCGTGACGACATTAAAGTGGAAGTGGGGTTTTCTTCCTGAATCTTAGCTGCCCCCAAAATTATAGTTAATTAATTAATTAAACATTATTATTATTATTGTCATTATTATGCGTTAAACGTTATATCTCTATCACATCTTTGATTATATTGAGATTTGGGTCCACGGGACAGACGTCAATAGGTCAATTTTTTATACAACATGATTATTAAACGGCAAATTTATTAAAACTAAGTCAATAATAACAATAGTACTAAAAGGAGTAGAGAAAAAGCCATCCCCATTTCATTATTGCTGCTCCGAGTTTGAAACTTTAAAATCTCATTTATTTTTAATCATTATTGGGGGTTTATTATCCTAAATTTCGTGGTAAAATTTTCTTTGGATTTGGTCATTTTGTTCACCCACCATAACGGAATTCACTCCTCCAATTTTCTACCTATTTGTCTACGTTATTTTTTTTTTGTTTTATTAAATTTTATGTTGATTTGAGTATCTATTTTACTATAAATATAATATTCAAATGTTAGATATATTATAAAAAAAATATATATTAGTATATAGACCACTAGATCACATATTTCGGACTTTGGTATAGTATGTTTAGTCTCCTTTTTTCAGCATAAAAAAAATATATGATATACGATATATACACATAAACTTCCCAATGGAAGTGGTGGAAAGTTGGAAACACATCTTATAGTTATCTTTATGTCTTTGCAAGTCAATTTAAAGTTGACATGATGAGTGAAAATAATTAATATGTAACGTATGGACTGTGATATGCACGGAAGTTTTAAGAACTTAAGTCAGACCATATATATATATATATATATATGTACGTATGTATGTATGTATGTATATATTCACCATTAAAACTCAAAACCTACCGAAAAAAGGTGTCTATATATATATATATATATATGTTATTTGCATTGAAAGTTCTGTATTCAAATTTCAATTTATTTTATAGTGTAAAATGGTACACGCTTTTTCAGTGCATGAAACCGGGAAGAGAGTTAAAGGGTGTGAATATGAATGTGATGCATTGGAATTTTTAATATAATAAAATATTTAATGGAAATGTGGACTCTACCCCGGCCTTTCTAATTTCACATTTCACTAATATTACTACATAGATTATTTTCATTAATAAATAATCTAATCTATAACTTTACTTTTGTTTAATTTTTTCCTTCAATTTCCCAACTTTTTGACATATAGACCCTCTCCTCCAGCTATTATATACTCCCCCACCCACTTTTTTCTCCCTTCACACCCCACAAGTATTTGTGTGTATATATATATAAACCACATAACTCCATGCCATCATCAACATCATCATAATTATTGAGAGAGAGAGAGAGAGAGAGAGAGAGAGAGAGAGAGAGAGAGAGAGAGAGAGAGAGGGGAGGGAGAGAGAGAGAGAGTTATATATCAAGAACAAGAACAAAACAAGGAGAGAAGGAAGGATGGGAAGAGCGCCATGCTGTGATAAGGCGAGCGTGAAGAAAGGGCCTTGGTCTCCTGAGGAAGACGCCAAGCTCAAGGCCTATCTCCAGGAGCACGGCACCGGAGGCAACTGGATCGCTTTGCCACCCAAGATTGGTAAAACATCTTCTTCACACTTAATTTTGATCATCATGCATATATATGTGTGTATGTATATGTATATATAGACGCTATTTATTTGTTAACCAAAAAAAAAAGATCATATTGATGAAGGGTTCTCTTTCCTTAAATCTTTGATGGGTTTAGGGCTAAAGAGATGTGGGAAGAGCTGCAGGCTCAGATGGCTCAACTATCTGAGACCTAATCTAAAACATGGCGGCTTCACCGAGGAAGAAGATAACATCATCTGCAACCTCTATGTTACTATTGGCAGCCGGTAAATCATAATCCTTACATACACATACACATATACATATATATATACATACAAGCATATACACACGGAACATCTTTGAAGAGGTTCCACCGAGTTCCTTCCGTATATAACGTAACGGTTATAACTTCTTCAAGATTTTCTCCTATGTAGCCTTTTGAAAGAATCTTAGTTAGTCGCTTGTTCTCGGTGTGTATATATATACGTCTTAGGTGGTCTATAATTGCTGCTCAACTGCCGGGAAGAACGGATAACGACATCAAGAACTACTGGAACACGAGGCTGAAGAAAAAGCTTCTGAACAAACAGCGCAAGGAGTTGCAAGAAGCTCGGCTGAAGCAGGAGATGGCGATAGCGATGGCCATGAACAGACAGAACCAAACCGATCAGAACAATCTCAACATGTTTGGGGAAACCTTCATGAAACAAGAACAAACCCTGTATTGGCCACAGATGGAATTACCGATGACAACCTACAACAGCTGCTATGGCCAAACGCCATCTTCATCGTCTGATCAGGAGCAAAAGCATACCACCACGGTCACGGAAATGATCATGATCGAAGAAACAAACCCTCAAGAAAACATCTCTGGCCAAAACCCCTTGGATTTCTCATTCGGCCAAGATCTTTACAGTAACTTCGGAGGAGTTTTCTCGGCCATGAACAGCAGCACAAACTCTCCATTGCCGAGCAGCCAATGCAACGGGATACCGGGAAGGAGCGACCATAACCGAGAAGAACTCCTCCAATGGTTTGGGAATTTCCAGGCAGATCAAGCGATGAACTACTTGTTAAGCAGCGTTCAGAATCGTGAATTCTACGAGAACTCAGCCATGGGGACAACAAGTAATTCGGCTGATCAAAGTACAATCAGCTGGGAAGATATAACCTCCCTTGTTTGTCCGGAGACTGATCAAAGCAATGGGATCATATACAAGGACTAGCTAGCAATGTTATATGTTTCTGTATTCTTGGTTTCAGATATGGAAGACGGTCCGTACGTTTTGTATAAATTCGTAAATCTCTAGAACAAGCATGCATATGGATTGAGGATATTCATGCAGAGATTTGTTTATTTTACTTTCAGCTCTTTAATATATAAATTGTTTCGAGTTTAATTACTTCGTGCATGCATGTGCGATATATGAAAGATTATTATCTTTTAGCTTTTTCTCCATAGCCTTAAGATGGATTTTCTCTACATTTTTTTGTGTGTGTGTCTATATATACAAACACACGTGTGTGTTATGCCATACAGCCCTCTCTCGATCTCTCCGGCGTTAGCATGGGGTTGAAAATTTGAATAAGCTGGAAACCATTGTTATAACTAATGGAAGGATATGACATACTATCTCCAGCGATATTATTCTCAAATCACATCTCTAATTCTATGCTTTAGGCTATTCATTACTTAATCGTTGATTATATATGCCTATATATTCATGTATTATTATTAATGAGAATACAAGAAAAACATTTCTCTTATATGGTATCAGAGCCTGTTTTTTATTATAATTTTTTTTTTCTAATCAACAAATGTTGGTTGAAGGCGAAAGCGATGATGAAGGTGACGATGATATACTAAATTCAATAGTATCATTGTTCTTGAATATCGTCCTATATTTCTTTTGTTCTTTGTTTTCCCCGATGACGGTGTTCATCACCATCAACCCTAGTCGACATGCTGCCTTTTTCTTTTCTTTTTCGACGACGTTCGTTCATTTCTCTTATAATAACTACTGTCTTTTTTTCGTTTTGGGGGTTGGGGTTGGATTTTGATGATAATAATACCTAACACTTTGAAGAAAAATGACATAATGGCATTTTCATATACAGTCTCATCATCACATAATCAAATTGCGTATCTATATATACACACCTCCAATGATGACGTCATCAGAAATTCTCTCCCCAGTTTGGCACAAATCTTTTCCCCATCCAACCCTCGAAATCATACCGTCAATTTCTAATATCATCATCATTAATAATAATAATAATAATAATAATAATTCCACTATTGCTATCCATACTTAATTATATACGACTCATTGAAAATTTAGTAATTACAAGGAATTGTAATTTCGAATTTCAGATAACATTTTCCCAGTTTTGGATTTTCATCAGCAATATCTTTTAGGGTCCTACTTATATAATATATTTCAGTATTCTCAATCCTTGGCGTTTTTTCAAAATGTTAGATATCTGGTTTTTTTCCAGAAGCTAGAAACCCTTCGTTGGTTTAATATCCTATTTTAAAATTAGGTATATAGAACTTTCAGTGTAGTTTTTTTTTAACGTGCAAATTTAAAACTTTTATTTCCATTTTGATTTTCTATTCCGCAACTGAAAAATCATGTCCATCGTATTCTATATATATGCAGAAGAAAAATATGTCTTTTATAATAAAATGTAAATTGAAATATTCCTGCTCTACATTGACGTCACGCCATACACATTCAAATATAATATATAAGATTTATCTTCACATGCGTACTATATACATATATGTTCATTTTTTATTGTAATAAAAAAAATTGTTTGTATAAAGTAATAAGGATAAGAATTATTCTCCATATGTTTTCGTGCATATATACGCAACATTCAACGCAGAATAAATGGCGTTTCTGAAAAATAAAGTCATGTGTGAATGTTCCAAACATTCTCTACCAACAGCAAAATGACAAATCTCATGGAATTATCCGCCTCTAATCACAGCATTTCCTTAATTAAAACGATTAATTATATATTCCAAATTGATAGTATATATGTGAATATATGTTTGTACGAGCAATATGTACCTACCGTACGTTATAGCTATGTATGTATATGCCAAAAAGTAATATGTACACACATGACATGTAATGAATATATATATATATATACACATATTCATGTATTTATGGAAAATTGAATATGTACCCACTTATCATGAAGACGAGAATAACTAATTAATCGCGATTTAGAAAAGGAAGGGGCTAAATTATGAAATTTGTATGTAAGCACTTACATCAGTGGATGGCACGTGGCATGGGCATGATAGTGTATTTAAAAGCATATTTCGCTTATATTAAAAAAAAGATACAAATATCTAGCGAGTAATGGTGAAACAATTATACAATTAATGGAAAACATGATCTAGCGTTTATAAACAAAAAAAAAAACATGATCTAACGAGAAAGAGAAAAATTTTAAAAATAGTTACAAATTCGATATTATATGATAACTAATTAAATTCTAAAAGGAAAAAAATTATTAAAGTTTTAGATTTTGAAAAGCGAAAAATAAATAATATCATACATTACAATAGTTATAAATATTTTATTATCTATGTTATATCATACATATTTATTAATAGTTAATCTTCCATATGATAGGAAAAAATGTAGCAAAAAACCGTGGTTCAAATCCATCAAAATATATGAACTAAGTTTTTCCATAACATATATTCGCAAATGTAATTGGTTCAATTCTTTATGTTGGTAAAAGGTAAATTTTTATTTAGTCGAGATTTCCTTTCCGAATAATTAATAGCTAGTTTTTTTTTTAATTATTATTTTCAAAATATTAGTTGTATTAAGAAGTTAGATGCTTTTGTTATTTAAAACAAAAAAAAAATAGATAAAAACAAAGAATCGAGGACTAGTATTTTGTTGGATCATATTATACTTTCACATGTTCCAACCTTCACAATATACGTTATACATGCATACACATATACATGTTTGCATGTGTCCGTATATATATATATACGTATGATTCTCGGGTAAAAATAAAGAAGGAACATGGAATAATAATCAGAGAAGAAATCAAGGGACTAAAAATCAACAATATACGAACGGATTTAAATAATTAATTATAATTAATATATAATTAAATCATAAAACACCATATGAAACCTTGATCGAAGCCTTGCGACCACTCATGACCCGACAAATCGCCCCATGACGATTTTTTTTTTAATTTTTTTATCTTTAATTCTATTAATTTACACTTAATTAGGACCATTGTCAAAAGTAACCAACGTATCTAATTTTTGTTTTATCCAACTGATGCCGACAGTCACTAACACGTTAGTGATTCTTTTATTCAATTATTATATGTTTATTATGTTTTCCCTCTAAAATTCTTTTTTCTTGCTGATTTTGTCTGTCTGTCAAAAAAAAAAGTTAGGGAATTTGTTTTATTGCATAAAGCAATGTAATATTTTATTGTGAAAACGGAATTAATGTCGTGTCTGATCATCCTGTTTGTGTTTTCTTTTTAGTTTTATCCATGAATACGAGATTTGGCGATTTCTTGGTATCCGCTAATGGTGGAAAAGATAGATACAGAAAATTCCAATGTTTTTAATTAAATAATCATCACCTTTTTGGATGTTTATTGCTACTTTTATGTCCATCCAAATCATATCATTCCCACAAGTTTCTAGGTCTCTATATGCTATGCATATATATATATATATATAATATTTCAAAAACCAATGAAAAACAATTATTTCACCAAAATCGGTATCTAAAATCATGACGTTAGTCGACGTGGAATCGTGGACGGACCAGTACTTTTAAAATGGGCTCAAGTTTCTGACGAGATGGGCCTCGTAAGCCCATTTTTAGTTACGAAATTGACCCAAAAGTTTTGGTGGTTTGATTCGTTATTGAGCTTTTTTGGGCATGGCCCGTTACCAAATACATCACTTTTGCTACATAACTTGCATTTATTTTTGTTTCGATTTACTATTTGGAAAGTACACGTCGTCCGGAATCATTTTTTCAAAAAGCCCACGAATTTATAGGACGTTGAGAAAAAAAAAACTGACGAGACCCACTTGAAAAATAGTTTTTTTTTTATAACATGTAAAATTTATTAATATATATATAGATATATATACATATAATGAAATCACCATTATAATGTATAAATGGAAGGGA